TGACGTCAGACTCGACAGAAGCTGATGCATCTGAAAGTTTGGTTCCAAAGAGGGGCAGCAGTCCTTTATTAGGAATTATTTTGGCTATAAATAAGAAGATACTGCGAAACGACACGTATTGCGCAGAACCTGCCTTGCTGCTGTTGCTAACTCACGAGGTAACATCACAAATCTTTATCAACACAAACACCACAAAGTCATTTACGATAGTTACACGGCTAGAATGTCAACGACCAGTGCTTCAACTTAACGTAAGCAAAGTAGCAGTCGACAGGATCACTGACCGAACTGTTCAAAGGTTTTACTCCGTTTGAACATAATTCAAAACGGCACGTGGAAATAACTTGAGCAATAACAGAGTTCATAGCGAAAGACATGATGCCCATTAAAATAATGACCAAGCCTGGGTTTATGTCTTTGGTAAACACAATGGATAATCGGTACAGAACGCTCTCGTGTACACATTTTAGACAAGTTGTCATTTCGGAGCTAAACAAAAAAATGCAGAGACAGAGTTGCAGCGGAGCTGAAAACAGTGGAGTTTCTTGCAACTGAAACAGATTTATTGATTGTGTTGGTTGAAAAATACATGAAAAAAAACCATTGAAGAATGATCGCATATTAAATCGTAACGGCAATATTGAAGTTAAAAAAAAAATCGCAATTATAATGGAATATTTTCCGAAATCGTTCAGCCCAAATTCCTAACACATTTTCTGAGCACTTACAGATTGAACAAAATTGATGTTTAAAAATTTGCTATAATCTATTTGTTAGCAAAATATCTTATAAACCACTAGGATAATTTTAATGAAGTTTTTAGTAAAAAAAATCACTGGATGTACATCTACAAGTGATTAACATTTAGAGCCAACACAGTTTAAGATGGCTGCCACAGATAAATGACCTTGGCAAACACAAAGAGAGCTTTAAAATGTCAAGTTAACACATACTAATCAAAAATTTGGTAGTGTTGTAGCTGATACCCATTAATAAAGCCTACTCCAAGGACTACTTATTTCACAAGACCCAAGTCTAAAACATTAGCATTAACTCTTGCTAACCTTGTTTGTTAGCAAAATATCTCACTAACCACTGGACCTCTAACTTACCACATGGATATGATTACTGCATGATTACTGCATTACGGCACAAACAGAGTAATATTGTGTATGCTGTTCAGTGTCAGGAGGGTGATCAGTCTTACATCGGGGGAAACTAAACAGCCACTGGACAAAAGGATGGCCCAGCACAGAAGATCAACATCATCAGGCCAGGATTCTGCGGTCTACACTCATCTCCAGGCC